CAACCAAGATCTTGTATCGACGGTTTTGCTCATGTGCCAGACGGTGGATCAAAGCTGGCTCAAGCCTTGGATTCAACTGCATGATCTGCGATTTGAACCCTTCGATTGTTGGCACTGGGAGACTTTGAACAGCGGGGAAATCCATAACCACGCCTTTGTTATTGCTGGTGTCAACATCATTTTCATCTTCAGCGCCTCCGGTCTCAGTTCCCAGAGGTGTACTTCTGGGTGTCTGGTCGGTGTCCGAACTGACTCGAGGCGATGTGATGTTTGGGACTGGTGGCCCACCATGAGCGGTCATAAGATTTACTAACCCGGGGCTACTTGGTCGGGGGATCTCGCTTCTGCTTCGACCTCGGCCCTTGAATTGGATGTTCAAGGAACTCCTCTCAGGATTCGGCGAGGGTGCAGGCGACACTGCTCGGACAGGCTGGCTACCCCCGACAGCGGCCATTTGGCTGGTCATTGAAAGAAGTGCGTTGCTCAAGCTTGGCGACCGCGAATGACGACGGTGCAAGAACCCGTTTCGTGGTGAAGAACTCGGTTTTACTAGTGAATCCTCTGTATCACGCTGCGGAAGCCCGGGGTAGCTATTAGATTGACCGATGGAAAGGTCAGATGCTTGGCGCTTCAGTTTCGAGGATGCCTGCAGAAATTGACGCTTAAAGAGACTGGTGCGTTTCTTGGGTTGTTCGGTAAAAGTAAAGTTCTCGAGAGATGTACCAACATTGATAATGCTATTGTTATCAATTGTTGCTGCGAGCGATGCCGTCTCGAGATCCCGCACACGTCTGTTGAAAGCTATCATAGCGTCGGTAGAGCTGTCCGGCTGCATCGCTTGCAATCTGGGTGTCGCATCGCGAGGGGGGTCATGCCAGGGGTAAAGACGGATACTTTCCTCGTCGTTGGCCGGTGAGAAAGATGTATAGACCTCGGGGGTGCTGCGATCATATCTGCCAGGTTCATCCACATTGGCCGAGGGCTCATCAGAGTAAGTGCCGAGGCTTGCTTCATCTTCGCTGAGGTCGTCGCTACTTTCATGGACTAATACCCCGGGCCCAGGGAATGATGCATCTCCGGTGCGAGACCTTAGGTTAAAGTAATCCTCTTGTTTCAAAGGGTTATCCCCGGTACTCCTCGCTCGAAGTCTCCTGGGAACATGGTGTGGGCGTGGGCGCGGTGGACTAGGCGAGTCGCTGTTGGCTACGCTCACAGAGACTGACCAGTGGGAAATGTCTTCGTTTTTCTCGTTCCTTTCTCGCTGGACGTAGACGTCATTAGGACTTGGCACGTATTCGTCTCCACGGGACCTTGGGTCAATTCCAGCTAGATGGGTTGATGAGTTTGGAATCCATCCGCCGTTCTCGGATCGCTTCACGGGAACAGACGGGACAGAGTGACGATCGCCATCATCTTCGTCTTCCAGCTCGCTTGGATTAGCAGATAGGTGTGCAAAGGACTGGTTGAGATGTCTTTGGGGCGACGTGCTGCGTTCCTTGGGCGAATCGCCTCGAGTGAAAGTTGTGATCTTGACGACGGGGCTTCTTCCCCTGTTTGCGCTCGATGCCAGCTCGGTGGTCAACTCCTCGTTAGCTACACCGAGTCTGGATGTCTCGGCGCCCGCGTTAGAGACACCAAGGCCAGACTGATACGAAGTGGGAATTGATTGCTGTGTGCTGGAATTTCCATGAGGCTCTAGACCTGCCAGCGTAGATGATGGGTTCGGATTCGGTTTGTGGTCCGGGCTCGGCCACTGAAAGGAATTCGGTGCCATGGACGAACCCCATGCCGGATCGACCCGCACAATGTTCTCCCCAGTCCTGTACGATGGCATATTCTCATTTTGCCAGGTCGAACCACTAGCCAGTTCGATGTCTTTCGGTTCCACGAAAACGCTCGTATCAGAAATAGGGGAGGTGCAAGTGCTTAGGTCCGTATAATCATTTGCTCTCGGGTCCAAGTAGCCTTGGATTGTGGAGTCGATCCGAGCATCCTCATGAGGGGATGAGCCAAGTCCGGCACTCTGCCCAGGACTGCCCCGCGATGGCGTTGGCGTTAGTCGAATGGCACTGGCCTGGAAAAAAATCTCCTCCGGATCGGATGCGGCTGATAGGTAAGGATCTGGAGCATATCGATCTTGGATCGCATCTGCTGGTGATTGCCCCTGAGCGCTGGGTGGGGAGGCGCGCGACATATTCAAATGGCGGTCAATTAGCCTAAGATTGACCGCGAAAACGGGGAGGTATCGAATTAAGCCGATTAAAAGAGCATTGAGTGGGGTTGTTCGTATGATCTATGCCAGCTATATTGAAGTCTGTTGCGCACGTGTGTTTGGTGTCCTGTTGTCCTTTCCTGACGACCTGGTCTTCTGGTGTGGTCGATGCCTCCAATACATAAGGCAGTGCAGACTGGGACTGTACAGACGAGGCCCCGAATAGGAAGTAGAACTTGAAGTTCAGAACCAGGAATCAAAGGGTAAATGAAGGAGGAAGATTTTTTTTTAAAGAAAAGCAGAAGCGATGGGGGCGGAAGATCAATCGGAGATGAGGGGGACAGCTGAACAAGCGCCGGGCGCATCCCTCCACTTATGATCTTATGCAAGACTAATAAGAATCAATAATACCAATAAGACCAACTTATTAAATCTTAGTACTCTCTCGTTGTGCCTGTCAGCCTTGTTCAGAGAAGAAACAGGAATCGAGCATGCTCCGCTTTTTCACGGAGCCTCACTGGGGAACGGCAGCAAAAGGGTGTGGCTGTGCTGTATTCTCTCTTTTGCATCGAGAAAGGATTACCTATGGAATACTATGGAATATGGAGTATGAAGTATCCCATACGAGGCATATGTACTAGGTTTATTGTATATAGGCGCCCTAGCCACAGCATTCCCATTTCTATTCTTATCCTCTCCTCTGGACTCAGCCTCCCGGTCCATCAACTTTATAGGGCTGAAATATTGTATGATATGGCTAAATGAAGTGAATCTGCCCTTCGTTCAATAGAAAAGAAATTGCTCGTGAAACCGGTTTATGCAGAATTCACATTCCCAGGTTCTATAAATATAACTGACCGATATCAATATATGAGGCTATTAACACGGGACCCTACGCGCCCACTAATACAGGCTCTAATGGTCAAGCTCAGAAGAATGTAGAAAGATATCGGAAACAAGGGTTCTATATTCGAAATAAGGCTTTAGAAATCTACACCTTCACTCTCACTTTACTCTCACTTGTGGCCAACTTCCTGCCTTCTGCTTCTCACCTGTCCCTCACCATGAAAGCTCATCACTCTTGGGGTCTCTCGCCTTCCCAGTTTTATGAATAGCCTTACAAATTACAAGCCATTCTGACCATTGTATTCTCCATCAGATTCATCAATTTTCATTTTCTAGAGACCTTCCCGGTGGAAATTCCATTAGCAACTGTGCCCGATTTCCGAGAAAGAGAACACCAGGGAGTTCTGCGGACTATCTGACGCCACTGGAGGGAGTGGGTTAAATTGGTTTCTAAGTCATCTACAAGGGCCTTCCCAACTAGCTTGTTTTTCTTTGATCTCTAGCTTCGGCGTTTAATACCCTATGCCAATGTGTTTCTTTTTTTATTTTTGGCTTCAGATATGCAAGGAGTCATAGGCTGGTTTATAATGAGGTTTGTTTTGGTGGAGTAGTTCACAGTTCGATAATAACATAAAGAATAATATTAGGATGCGAGGAGGATAGGGCTACCGACGCATTTATACCTGGGCTTTTCGGTCCTGGTTTGATACCCTATTTTCCTTTTAATCCAATACTTTCTTTTGATACAGAGATCACTTCGTATTATTTTCGGGACTACTATTCATAGTCCAATGTGTAAACAATACGCCAAGGCCATATACCCGATTTTCCAAAGATCTTACACCCACTGCCCCTCAGTTACAAGCCCCTCGCAACAGGTACTTTCCGCATCATTCTACCGAAATGCGTGTCGAGACATCTATCAAACAATTCGAAGTCTATTGTCGACTCTGTCGGGGACGAAATCAGACAAGGGAACACGAAGCATGAGAGCAAAATCGCAAGCGGATGGAGATATGGGGGAACAATTTGTGATCCTGGTAGATTCGCTGAAAAGCGAGATCGCAAAAGAGCTTCAACAACACGGCCTATATATGAATATATCTCTTTCCCATTTATTTATTAGTAGTCCACTAATTCTTAGGTGTTAGGATGTGCTGTGCGGCACTTTTAACAGAATGGAGAAAATCATCAACCCGTTTTATGCGACAAAACGCTTGATTATTATCCCTACTAATGACGTCTCGATGATCCCCCCGGTGACTTGCTTCCGATCGACACCTATTGCTTTATTGATGGTTTACCGTCGCCTTCTGGAGAGGACATTGATATTGTGCTCGTCGCATATGAGGTAAAAACTCAGAATGCATAGCAGTATGAAAGTACCATCAAAGAAAATATATCACATGAGTGGAAGAAACTGAAAGTCATGGCTATCGTTCCCTGAAGAAGTATGACTAGCAAGCAGTCTGAGGCTCGGAAGAACTATATTGGGACAAGGCCCCTAGTTATATGTAGATAACCTGAGAGGATAGGCATTCGATAACAAGAGCCTAAACCCTATTTACTCCGTAGATGGTTGTAAGATCCGGGGTCAACACGAGATTAAAGCGTAATTGGTTGAAACTCTATAGACACATCTTCTCGGATCCTTATCTTAAATCGGATCGAATCAAGTACTCTTATCATAAATATTGGATTTGACAGTCATAGAAATTGAGAAGTGTCGAGAATTTCCTATGAACTGTGGGCGACTACCATAGATCCAAACCTCCCTATCGATAAAATGGAGACTTGGCAGCTGTCATAGCATAGATAAGAGGCTTAGTAGTCTTTGTCTCTAGCTATTGTGAGCTATGTGAAGGTTCAGTTTGCTGGAGGATATATCTATCCACGCCTCTGAACTGAGGATTTAGGATTGCAATCCATTCTAGCTCTAACCATGGCCGACGCTGTAAGTCTAGTACAATTGAGAATGGAATGACACTTGCACGCAGCTGACACAGTCATATAATATAGCCGGTATACAATGCGTCTACCCCAACAGGCGGAGATCCACTCAAGGTCGATGTAAATGCTCAATATGCAGGTGTCGAGTGGAACTATATTTACATCATCCTCTGCTCATTCATTTGTTGGTTGATCATGCCCGGGATTGGTCTTCTCTACAGTGGTCTCGCACGGAGAAAATCAGCGCTGGCATTACTCTTCCAGGCGTTCATGGTTGCGGCTGTGTATGTTGAGGTCTTCGTCGAAACCCACGCGTACATCGTACTGACACGAAATATCCCAGAATAACGTTCCAATGGATATTCTGGGGTTACTCGTTGGCCTATGCCCGTGATGCAAGTCCATTTATTGGCACCCTGAAGAACTTCGGTTTGAGAGGTGTGATGGCAGCACCATCACCTGGCTCGGCCAATCTCCCAGAGATTGTATTCTGCTTTTATCAGCTTCTATTCTGCGCGTGCACGGTAAGCAACACCTGTCAACTCAATGTCGCGAAATAAAAATTGATGGAATGTCGTGGCAGGTCATGATCGTTGTCGGCGGAGCATTCGAACGAGGCAACCTGATCCCCTCCCTGATCTTCAGCTTCTGCTGGGCGACCGTCGTCTACTGTCCCCTAGCCTGTTGGACTTGGAACAGCAACGGGTGGTTGTATAATCTTCCATCACTTGATTTCGCCGGCGGCGGCCCGGTCCATATCGCATCTGGCTGGTCGGCATTGGCTTATGCCTTTGTTCTGGGAAAGCGCAAGAATATCGACCGCACTACACATGCGAAACCACACAACACGACCTTGGTCTTCTTGGGGACGGCCTTGATCTGGTTTGGATGGCTCGCGTTCAACGTATGTCACACCTGTGCCTTTTTCTAAACTCAAATCTGACAGCAGTTATTTTTTAGGGCGGCTCGACTCTCAATGCTAGCGTGCGGGCAATGCTAGCAGCATTTAACACCAACACTGCGGCTTGCGCAGGAGTATTAGGATGGGTGCTGGTCGACTATGTCAAGCACCGCGGGAAGTTCTCTGCAGTGGGAGCGTGCGAAGGCGCAATCGCAGGGCTAGTCGGCATCACCCCAGCTGCCGGATTTGTGTCCGTATGGCTTGCTGCCGTTATCGGGTTCCTCACAAGCATCATCTGCGCCCTCCTCCAAGATATCAATGACTGGTTACACATAGACGAGGGGATGGATGTATTCAAGCTGCACGGTATCGGCGGGATGGTGGGGGCATTCCTTACTGGGATCTTTGCGTCGCAGTCTATTGCCGCGTTGGATGGCGTGACCGAGGCTACTGGGGGCATTGACGGCAATGGAGTGCAAGTTGGGAAACAATTGGCTGAGGTGTGTGCTATCTCGGCATATTCTTTCATTGTCTCGTGTATCCTGCTCTACATTCTCAAGTTCATACCGGGGATGCACTTGCGGGTGGACGAGGAGGTGGAAATGGTTGGCCTGGACCGCGCGCTGTTTATAGATGAGCAGATTGGTGAGCGGGTGCTGCTCGACGATCTAGGTGGGTCTTCATCACCGAGTGTATTTGATGGGCGGATTCCTGTAGTGGTTGACTCTCAGGAATCGAAGAAGTGAGCCTCGTCTCGTGACTTCAAACCCCAGGGCTGTATTAGAACATGTAACCTGTCTCGGATTCATAACTTCAATGTTTCTAATTTTATTCTTGTGTTTTTTCTGTCATCTCTCTTCCGTGCATAATATATTACCGAGAAATGTCTAAAAGGAAGGCTTGTGACTTGCAATTTGTGCAACTAAATCAGAGTGAACTACATACTGAGCGATAGACAGATTTTGTAAAGGCGTTTTTAAGGAGCTTTTTACAATAGCAGGGATTATCTTTATTATTTTGGTCATAACGGGGAAATTATGAGAAGCCTTCGCCAAGACATACCCTTGTTCACCAGAGTGACGCAACTAATCTCCCGTCGGCTTCCAAGGCCGGGGAAGGGAGGAGCTGACGTATACTCTCCCCTCTCAGCATTTTAGTTAGTGTAAGCCCTGTACGAGGGTCCAAGGGTCTTTTTCACAAACTGCATTCCATGATGACGAGGCTGGAATACACATCCGCTTATAGTGTACCTACTACTCCGTATAATAAATACATACGGAGTAGTGAAGTTGAGATAGTCAAGATTCAAGTGGAACTGTCCCTGTCAAGATCAAAACAACGTGATTAGTCTGCATGCCGCAGTGGGACGTGTACACATCTGCAGGAAAAAATAAGTATATGTGGTACATTGGAGATTGTACAATGTTGTAGACAATTCGATGCTACTATTGTAAATGTTAGTATTAGACATCGATAGGATTGAAAATAAGCTAGAAAAAAGAATAAAAAAGAAAAAAAGAGCAAAAAAAGAAATTATCTGGTCACAGAAATTTAAATTATTCATAAATTGCCCCACTTTCCCGAATTCAGGCCAATCTGGGCCCTTGTTGCCACTTAAAATTCCTAGTCCGGCCCGTCATGTTTCGTACCGCCCCGGAGTCGTCGCGTCCAGGCCGCTTTTGGCAGTCTCCTTATCTTTCTTGGCTTGGGTCGTCTCTCTCCTCTCTCTTCTCTCTCAAGTCTTCTTCACTTCCTGTCGTTCGTTTACCCCATAGTCTTGCACTTTAATTTGAAAAAATAACTTGTCTTGCACTTCCTTTTGACAAGTCTGTCATGATCTGCGACTAATCAAGAGTCCAAATGGGCAAATGTATGCAGTCCCACCTCGACGTTTATGATGCGTCAAATTGACCTTTCTATTAGGGCGTTATGGTGTCGTCCTGGACGCGGGCTCGTCTGTATGTCGACGTAGTTCCGGATCTCGGAATCATGTCACTAATCAACCGTATAGGGGACTCGCGTACACGTTTACCGATGGCTACGGAATTCCGCTGCACGAAAGCACGCCCATGTGGAGGAGTTGAAATCGCTACCAGAAATCAAAACTAAGGAGGAATGGACGAAGAAGATTCACCCTGGTGAGCCCTGCTCGAGCCAATACCAACATACCAACCCACCTACCCGACACTAACCCGCCTGCGCAAAAGGTGTTTCTTCTTTCGCCAACAGACCCGAATTGGTTGGATCAGACCATCTCGCTCAACTATTAGACCACGCCAAAGGAATTATTCCTGCCGAGGATGCCAAGGATACTCCTATATTTCTTCTCGCCACTGCCGGCATGCGACTGCTGGGAAATCTCGAGAGACAATTGCTTCTGGATCGGATCTGCTCTTATGCCCGTGAAAACTCGGAGTTTCTGCTTCCCGACTGTGGTGTCCACATCCAGGTGATTCCGGGTGTGACCGAGGGACTATATGGATGGATTGCGACAAACTACCTGATGGGATCCTTTGATGCGCCGGAAAAACACGACCATGGAAAGGGACACAACACCTACGGATTCCTTGATATGGGTGGCGCATCGGCCCAAATTGCATTCGCTCCGAATGTTACGGAAACAGAGAAGCACGCCGAGGACCTCAAATTGTTGCGATTGCGGAACATTGATGGATCGGTTCAAGAGCACAGGGTGTTTGTCACTTCGTGGTTGGAGTTCGGCGTGCATGAAGCCCGACGGCGCTATCTGGAGGCTTTACAGACGGCGATTGGGCCAGGTATCAAGGAGATGCCTGACCCCTGTCTTCCCAGTGGATTACGGACTACGCTTGACGGAAAAGACGCGTCAGCGAGCGAGACGGAAACGTATCTGCTAGGCACAGGCAAATTCGACGAATGTCTCCGCCAGACATTCCCATTGCTGGACAAGGATGCTCCGTGTGCGGATGAACCCTGTCTGCTAAACGGTATCCATGTTCCAGCTATCGACTTTGATGTTAACCATTTTATCGGGATCAGCGAATACTGGCACACCACCCACGAGATTTTCGAAATGGGATATAAGGACAAAGCGTACGACTTCAACACGTACCAAGAACGGGTTGAAACGTTTTGTTCTCAAGACTGGGACTCTATTGAGCATGGCCTTGAACAGCACAAATGGGGAAAGAAGGTTGATCGCCAAAAGGCCTACGAAGTATGCTTCAAGGCATCATGGATCATCAGTATGTTGCACGATGGCATCGGAGTGCCTCGCGTGGGCTTGGAGAGTACAACTGGCTCTTCGCACAACGGCACTAAAGAAGTCTTGGCTCATGGAAAAGAAAAGGGCTATCTTGATGCTTTCCAGGCGGTCAACAAGATTGACTCGACCGAAGTGAGTTGGACTTTAGGCAAGATCGTCTTGTACGCATCTTCTCAGGTGCCTCTAGATATCGAAGAAGGTCTCCCAGTAGGCTTTGGCAGCAATGTCCCCGGTATCCCGGCCGACTTCCAGTATCCCAGTGTTCAGCTACTACCGGATTCGGACAGCTTCCACAGCGAACACTGGCATGACGCACTATTCGACGGTGATTCTCCGCGCCGGATCCCGGGCTTTGTCCTCTTCATGTTCATTGTTGCCATGGTCGGCTTCTTCTTGTGCGGACGAAGCCGTCGATCGCGGATCTTCAACCGCGTGAGTAACGTGTTACGCCGTGGTGGGCCATCGCACCCCAATCATCCGAAGAAACGAAAGGGACTCAAGTCGATGCTGCCATTCATCAATCGAAGCGCTCCCTCTTACGAGCGAGTTCTGGAGGACGGTGCTCAAGACTACGAGCTTGGCGCCATCGAGTCCGACGAGAGCGAGGATGGTGGACGTCTTTCCGAGGCAGACTCGGCTAGACTAGGACCACCGAAGCGAGCATCGAGCTGGGGCAGTAACAGCAACACTCCTAGTTTCAAATATGCCTTGGATAACAGTTCGACCGGGACGATTGGTCTTGGAATCAGCGGTGGTGGCTCGGGCATCGCTATGGATCGAGCAGGCTTGGTAGTCAGGACGGAAAGCAGGGATCACCTGGCTCCCATTGCTCTGGGCCCCACAACCAACGGCCGTCGATCAAGAGCTGGCAGCCCGACAAGGTCCCACCAAAAATCACCCAGCATGACGCCCCTGGCCGACGATTAACGTGACATACCCACCTGATCCGAATTATGCATAATTTCTTACACTGCATCGCATCTTCACTTGGAGTTTGATTGTTTGACATGCGTCGAGCCATTTCGGCGCTGTCGATTTTTTTTTTCTCTTTTTTTCTCTTTTTCCCTTTTTTTCCCTTTTCACATGCAGAGGGACTTCATCTTCTTATTGAGTCACATGCGTTGTGGCAGTTTGCTTTCGATTCTTCATATCATATTTCAACACTGTGCTCTGGAGTACCTTTTTGTGGTTGGTTGCGGTGCCTTTGATCTCGAGCCAGTGATTTACACGTAATGAGGTGTGTACTATTAGTGGTTGAGAATGTTTTCCTGAATATAGATTAATACATTGGCAAGTCTACTCTGGATTTAAATTATACATCTTAGTACCAATGAGCATGACTTACTTCATTGACCAGGCTGCCTAGTAGCCGTGGAGGTAGGCAGCTAAGCCGATATCACCTTTTCAGGCAATATAAGGTCACGTGATAATGCTCTCACCGCCTGGCAAAAATGATGTAGAGAGAAACTGGCGCAAGTAGCTTCCGATTCACACGTTCCATTGATTCACCAAGCTTGTTCAATATTCTTCTATAGCACTACCACCTATGCTGTCGCCATAAAGCTCACCATCCTATACACGCCTTACTCTTGGCAACAGCTGCCATCGCGACCATGCGCTTGACCGCTGAGCTCATTCAAAATTCGCTAACATACATCAATCCGCTCACAGATCGTGAGCTGGATCTCCGAGGTGCGTTCACCCACTTCACACCTGCCTGAAAAGAACAGGTACTACACTTTTGATTAAGAGCTGGATTGATATCGTCTTTTGCGTGGTCGTGTAGGTCACAAGATCCCCACAATTGAGAACTTGGGTATCGCGAAAGTAAGTGCTGTGTTTCTTTCAAGCAATCTCTGAGGCATACTTGCCTCTGTTATGTCCCTTCGTGTTGCTGCTAGACCAATTTTTGAGTCCGCAGGCAGCTCAGTCATACCCTTGTGAATCGGATGTTAACAGCTCCTAGGATCAAGATGCGATCGACTTCACCGATAATGACATCTCCTCCCTTGGAAACTTCCCCCACTTCCCTCGCCTCCGTACCCTCCTCCTCGCTCGCAACCGTATCAATCACATCCAACCGGCACTCGCAACTTCAGTGCCTAACCTGACGAATCTGGTCCTGACCGCAAACAATGTGTCCGAACTTGCCGACCTAGATCCGCTGCGGACCTTGGGACGGCTGACGCACTTGTCCCTCCTGCAAAACCCGGTGACACGCAAAGAGGTTTGTCTAGCCCTGCACCCACGTACTAGTTAGATCCGGCTATTTATCCCATGTCTGGATTCTGTTGGAAGCTAAGCTAACTGGTTCCCGCAGAACTACCGTTACTGGATTATCTGGCGCATTCCCTCAGTGCGCTTCCTTGACTTCCAGAAAGTAACCGACGCCGAGCGCGCTACAGCTAAAGAGCTCTTCGGCACCTACGAGGAACCCTCGTCCCTCGCATCCAAGATTATGGGTGTCAAGTCCCGCACCTTCGACGTGTCTACCCCAGCTGAACGTACCCCCGCCGAAAAGGGCGTCCGGGTACAACTCACCGACAAGGAGCGCAAGCGCGTGGAGAAATTGATTCTCGAGGCGAAGAGCTTGCAGGAGATTACAAAGTTGGAGAAAGAGCTTAACGAGGGGCGGATACCCGGTGGAGCGGATGTCGATGGTGACGAGGCCATGCAGATGTGAGAGACGAGATTTGAGTTTCTCGCATGGGTTGTGTTGCGGATTATGAACATGCAATCACGTTTTGTCTTTCTGTGGAGCTTAGCTTTCTGGGTTTCTTTTCTGACCGGGTGGGGTTTAGTGTGTATCGTATCTGGGTATTCATTTATTCATATGCCCCTAGTTTGGAATCGGGAAAAGATTCCGGCTATGAAATTTGAGCATATCAAATTCAAAAGATCATTTGGTGCTTATCCAATAGAACATATCGTGTTGGTCTATCAGGCTTGCCTCTGGAGTAGCAATCACTGGGGTACCCTAAACCTAAATGTTCGCCTGCTATCCTTTGCTTGACGACCGGATCTATTAGCGAATAGCGGTTCTTTATATGGAGGGGAGGTTCGTCTCTATTTCACTAACAGTGTCTTATGTGGCTTCAATCCCTATATAGTATTCAACTTGAACTAATTGGATAGAGCCAGACGTAATCTCGATGAGAAAAATTTATATGATACATTCAAATACATCCCTATGTAGAATTTCGCTTCAGCCCTTTAGCCTCAGATATAAACCAACTAGACACCATACCCCAGGATCATTCATATCCAGGATCAAAGATCCTTGCTTTGTAGAATTCAGCATCATCCCACCCTCTCTTGTCCGTCACGGTCTCAGGTGCGCTCTCATCACTAAACGACACATACTGTCCCATATCACCCTTTCCCCCTTCCACCCAGGCATACTCCCCAGAAGAATGTTGAACCAGAGACTTGAGCTTATCAATCCCCATGAGAGTATCAAAATCTCCACTGGTTGTGTTGTATTTATACGCTGCAGCGGTATGCGTCAACAATAGGATATCATCATCCTTATAACTGGCAGAAAGGTCGTGACCATTTCTCGCCCTGCCTTTCACCTTAGGCAAAGAGATTGGCTTTCCATCCCTCTTCAGCTCGATATCCTTCCCTTTTCCCACCACATCGTATTTGTAAAGGTAGTCCTCCCCGATGGCCCACAACTTGCCACCATGCCAGAGCACCCCGTGAGCCTTTTGAACAGTATATTCATGGCTCTTCTTGATCTTTTTCAAATTGTTGACATCTGAGGCATCGGTTGGAACATACAGCGTCAGCTTATGGGAGGCGGAGCTTGCGGCAACAAATGCTCCCAGATAGGGGATTCGTTCGAGGGAATGCGGGTTGCCATCGGGCGTTGCTGACCAGACGACGTCGTCTAAAGTCGTGGACTTCTGCCCCGATTTGATATCGATCATTCCCACTTTGCCTCCCGAGGCGGCGACCAGGGCAACCAGACCCCGGTCAGCTGTCTTGCGGATTTTAACTTCAGAAAGGTCGGCCCAAACGTCCTTTTGCCAGGGCCATGGGTCCAGGTCAGCTGTGAAAGACCAGTGAATGGCGTCTTTGTTCCATTTGGAAGCATCTCGTGGGAAGACCCGAACGGACTTGGAGTTCTGGTCGGTAACAGCCAGATGGTAGGCTGTTGCGAAGGGAGCTGCAATGGAGAGAGAGAGGAATGTACTTTTGAAATGCATTATTGCGGTGCTAACAGAGTTTTGTTATACCAGAGAAAAGATCACTAGAAAGGAAATAGGCGAGGGACTTTATGGATTTATATGCTCTCCAATTTTCGACGGGGTTATTCAATATACTAATTGGTTGGGAAATGCTTCACCATACAAACTGCTAGGAGAATGGCGCTCGCAAATCTCGTATACAATCGCGCATTCTATTAATAACACGAACTAAAATGGGGACAGTAACCCCGGTCCAGGGTGGGACCAGCAACCCGTACAGTGTACGGAGTACAGGCCAATATTTCAACTACTCCACGAGATCCAAGCCTGGAGTATAAAGTAAGTTGTGCAAAGAAATAGTATAATTCTATTCTTAGATTCTCAGATTGGGGATAGCATCAGGGCGGGATAGGGTTATGCAGGGGCTGTGCAATACGAGTTCTTCATTCTTTGCAACCTCGGTACAAGTGGCGGGGATAAGACGGGATATACCTCGTATACTGCAGATCTGAAGGGAAATCAAATTAAACAAAAGGGGACAAAAAAATATTGCTAATTTACTACTACATGTTTGTGGTTTAATTCATGTGTACGCCAAACGGAGGTTTGTCTTCTCAGACCATAGCCCGGACATATGTATACCGGAGCCTCATCTTTTGCAACATCGTACATTCCCAATGTGCCAAAGGCATAGTTTGTGGTATAGCATATAGCTCACGATAGAAGCTCTTGAGAGGAAACAACTTGAGAAGAGTACCCCGACTATATACTGCACCAGATCCTCCAAGCTACTTAGGCCAGTAAGGTCTCTTGTAAGGTAGTAGCTTCGCTGCAACAATGCTGAAGGCGGGTCAAGCCGCAACCGATGCTAGTGTTCGTGTTTGAGTGGAAATATCCCCCAACTAGTGTTCCAAATAATACGAGCCTCCACAAATTCCTCAGTTTGGCATCATCCCGCGTGCTGATCTGAGGCCTTTCATGCAGAGCTATTTTCGACATGCAGAAGGGGCTTGACTACTCCAACTGGGCCTAACAAGTCTCGTATTCCATGGCGATCACATTCCTAACACGAGCGATCCCAGAGGAAAGACTCCTTTACGGACGAATGTACGGAGTAGAGACACTTTGTTACACTTCATATGCAGCTAATAATCTTACCTCTCGCTTCCTAGATGCAGTAGACTGCACTATAAATTGAACCTCCCCAGAGAATGTACTCGCTCCACGGTCAAAAGGAAAGCCCTCTCGGTACCAGAAGCCCCATTATGCGGTATACATTAGTCTTGACTACTCTTCTTTCTCTTTGCTTGCCTTTCACCACTGCGGCAGACCCTCGTTACTGCCAGGGAAAGACGACTCTTGCTAGCAAAGACTTCACCCTCAAAGAATCCGCAGACAATGCTCACCTACCTGTGCTCTCAAAGTACTTCAAGTCGAAGGGTAAAATTGCGAGCGTCACTGCCGTTCTTGAGTCCGCGAATCGTGCCTTAAGCAAAGGTTCACCCCCTGTCGGCAATGGATCTCCCGCCGAAGCATGGGCTTGGAACTCAGGCGATGACAAGACGAAGGAGTGGGTTCCGCAAGGAATCACCAGCTCTGCCGATGCTTTCGGCAAGGGAACCTGGAACGACCACGAGGCGTGGATCGTCAGTTGGTATCGTCAGGGAGAAAGTGTACGGCTCAGCTTTGTTGATCGCAAAACACACAAGTATCGCCATGTGATGCTCGTGTATCCTACTGCCGACGACGACTTCAAATCCATCACTATTCATGCGGGTGGCATCATGTGGTACGGCAATGTACTGTATGTTGTTGATACCAAGAATGGTATTCGTGCATTTGACCTGGACAATATCTGGGAGGTTGAGATTGCAGACGGTGTTGGAAAAACCAAAGACGGAAAAGGATATTCTGCGGATGGGTACCGATATGTGCTTCCTCAAATCCGGTGAGTCTTATATATTATCTTCTTTTGGACCAAAAACTGATACCATCCAAAGCTGGTACGAATGGACCCCCGGCGACTCTTCTCCCTTCCGCTTCTCTTGGATTTCCCTTGACCGTAGCGACTCACCCGACACCCTCATGGTGGGCGAGTTTGTGCGCGATGGAGAAACTTTCGACGACGCCAGCAAGACCCCAGTCCCTATCCGCTATGTGAAATACAATCTAGATGCCACTTCCCGGCGGCTGCACACCGACGATAACGGCATCGCTACCGCAAGCTGGGCGCACTGTGTCAACATACCCAATGTGCAGGGTGCTGTTTCGTACGACAGCAAGTTTTACATCTCACGCAGTACGGGCAGAGCTCCCAAGGAAGGCGATCTTTTTACTTGGGAACAAGGGAAGACAGCGACAAAGCACCAGGGGTGGTTCATGGCTGGAAATGAGGACCTCAGCTTCAATCCTGTTAGCAAGGAGTACTATACTGTCACTGAGTATGATGGAGATCGGTACATCCTGGCCTATAAGGTCTAGTTTTAGTCGATCCGTCACAAAAATATTGATCCAACTCCAGCATGGGTGGCGGTGCCAATGGAGTTCTTGTGGAATATATTATATCCGCCATGGTGGCCGATACAAGAATTTGAACCAGTTCTGCGTATGTTCAATCTATTTTTCATGAGAAGCTACACTGGTGAAATGGTAAAGGGTAAACAAAGTCTATACTCCGCCGGATTCCAGCCAATACCCGTCAAATTGAAGTGAATACGGAGCAAAACTGTTTAATCCGACTATTTTATCTATCTTGAACTTCGACAGATTGGCAAATCGACAAGAACTGAGGTATACAAAAGTGTGAGAACGGAGATAGCTTCCATGACATACGGAGTAGCCAACTTGATCTGCGGAGTACGAAGTAGGGATCGACGAACTTGTTTTTTATGATGCCGTTCCCGCTGCTAGATCTAGATGAAGACACTGGACATTTTTGGATGACCCAACACATGTCGCGTATGAAAATATCTCGACAACGGATTTTACTCGCCGGTTGTATTGCCGAAAATTCCAGGATGCCAAAGCGACACTGGAAGGGATCTTGGAGAGTCTGGCATCAAGGATTTACGCCTGTTTCACAGCGCTCCGAGCGTTTCCAGAGGGTGATAAAATCCATGTCCGTGTGATGATGATGCAACTAGCATTTGGATTTGATAGTGAACAAACGGACCAGGACCTCAGAGATATAGAGTGCAGTTTGATATGAATAATGCAAGGGGTGGGTACAAGATGAATGACAACATCCAGATACAATTAGACGATGAAGTCCAGGAGCTTTTCCTTGTTGAGAATTTCTCCTTCCACCAATCTCCCTGTCTCAGCGACTTCCCCATTGACTTTCTCATAGCGTACCAGCGCGGGAATGTTTTGAGTTCCCCAGGTCGTTCGGTAGACATTCTGGGGGTTATTCCATCTGATCGATATCAGCTAATACACCATAGGACGCGTTTTCAATGCAACTTGGAAACAAAATATTGAAGATTCAGATACGATCAAGGTAAAACTTACTCGGGCTTTTGTCCAACCTCGATAATAGCTAGTTCAGGCGCATCATCTCCGGCAAATGCCTTATTGATATGTGGCAAGGCATCACGTACGTCCGGGCACCAAGGTTGCTTGGTAATCGGATCTGGTGAAGAGATGAAGGCGATGAATAATTTCGAGTCCGGGGTTAATGCCAGCTCTTTCGCCGAGCTTGGCAGGGTGAGATTCTTGGTGATTGGCATTCTTGCAGCTTCGTATACAGCTCGAACTTGAGTCCAGAGTGTAGCCAAGAAGTATGGGCGGGACAATAATATTTTATTGGAGATACAAAACTGAGGCGTTTGCAATTGGACATGAAATAACTGTGGCTTTTCAATGTTGCCCAGGTGTTGTTTTCACATGACTAAGCAGATCACAACCTTGGAATAACCTTGGAAGGTTCCATGGTTCCAGGATGCGGGCCCATGTGAGGCTTTTCTATATCACAACCCTGCAGTATCACTAGATCCCTTCTTCCTATCGACATGAACGTGTTCTTCGTGCTGATTTTCTTTTCTTAGTCAGTTGGCCTATGTGTGGTCAGTGCTGAAATGTGGATATCCTCGTATTCACTGATTCTGCACGCTGACACTCGCGTAGTCGGCGCGTGATGTAAGCAAAAAGTTCAGCCCCAGCTTGAAGTATTTCTCCTCATTTAATACTCTGACTTTGAAACAGTAACATTTAAGTTTCTAGTATGGATGAAACAGCATCCAACTTTCGGGCACAGTGGGTCAATCCATCAGATCTATTCTCAATCCTCTTAATTATTGGCGGGGATGTCATTGGCCTCGCTCAGGCAGCCCTCTCCGGCGGCCCTATCACCCCCGTCACTTTCTCCTTTGGATGGGTATCGTATGCTATCTCAGCGCTACTCGCTGTCCAAAGCGAGGGCCGCCTAATGCCTCCAAGCCCTGACTCTTCGCTCCAGGTAATCAACCTAGGCACGGGGTATAAGCGATTCAACCGGTCCTGGACTTTAGGGCGTGTGTTTCAGAACTATGAATACTGGATGCCGGCAGAAGTGCAACAGCGACTGCAAAGCCACCCGATATTGTACGAGGATGAGGAGGCCTGGATTACAGACACAGAGATGCCAGAGAAGGTCACGGGAACGACAAAAACATACCCCAATTCTCGCAGATTTGTCAGCCCCCGACAGGCCCGCCTCTGCGTTAGCGTTTACGAGTGGGCGCTAGACGGACAACACCCTGTGGCGAAACCTGGTCATGACTGGGTGCATTGGCTAGGAATCGTCGTGACAGTGGCTCAACTAGGCATCAGTGCGATACCGCTTGCCCTGTACGGAGACTGGAGTATCTTCCTGGTGACGGTGGCCGGGACAATGCTGGCCTACGCGTCTGGCACGCTGCCGCAGTGGGGGAAGGAGAAATGGGCATGTCGTATCTTAGACAAGCGCAAGGATATTGCGTTAACAGTTGGTGTTGGCACGCAACATGTGATCGTGGTGCGCGGGGCGAAGGGCGGGTTGGATTTAGAAGACATGGCTGGGGGCCAGTTGCCGGAAGACGAGGAGGGGCAGGCACGTAGGGGTCGATTGATGCGACTGATGACCCCTGGCAATACTACGCGCATGGTGACGTTCCTGTTAGTGGTGCTGTGGCTCATGCTTCTGCTCAGCAGCACGGGGATCCAGGAACATGCATGGTATCTACTCGCGGTGGGCGGCACTGGCATGGTGCAAAATCTCATCACGGCCGGGGCCCCGCGTCGGCCGGCGATGTTGGGGATACCGATTCGACTGGCTATGCGCTCGAACTCGAAGAACGAAGGAAGTCCGATACCAATGGTGTTTGCTGAATTCAAGGTCATGCATACGCTGATGGAGCTCGAGTTGGACTTCAAGGGAGCTGGCCGAGCTCTGCTCCCAGAGTTCTTCCCTGGAAGCGGCGGCCTACAGCCGTGGGAGGAAAAATGGTGGTCCAGCAATGAACCGGACGTTCGACGCCAGCTACTGCGGGCGGCGCGAGAAAAAGAATTCAACAAACAGATGCACAGAACGCAGGCTGCCTGAAAAGGGATGTATAATACCCCAGTATATGGCAATTTTCCACTAGGTTCTGCCCCTCGAGTGGTAGTTGTCGCATTGAAGCATTCCAAGGCTGGTCGCTTACATACAATTGTCAGATCTCTCTCTCTTTGCCGCTCTGAGATTATTTCTGGCTTTCAGGTCTTTCTTTCTTTTACCGGAGAGCTTCATTGCAATAGGTCGATCATGGTCATCATTACACTTCTGTTGATCACTTCCTTGCTTACACTTTAGTCACGTAGCGGATACGTGCATAGGGTCTCTGTCGTTGTCGTATGATGAATGATTTGGTACTTATCTGCTTTGGTCTAAGTAGAGGTCAAAGAACTGATATTGCATGCATGGATTGTGCCCCCAAAGTTTTGCTTTCCATATCCAAACGACTGCCTTCTTCTACCCCGAGTAACTATGTGCGACTGCGCAATCCTTCCAGTCTTAAGATTTACCTTGTCACCACGATTCCGTCTCAGGTCTTAGAATGCCACAACGTAGGAAGCATAACATATCAGATCACCTAGGTACATGTACTACTTGCAACAGACGTTAATACGAAGACGGGATGAAGCACATGTCTTGGCACGGGAACTGACCAACCAGTACGAGACTAGCGTTTTAGGGCACGCCTATTCTCTTTGCTGTCGCGGGGCTTCGTCTGACTGAAAGGGCGCAAATCTCGGAGTCCCTCTTTGGGCAGACAATCACAATGGCGGAGCATTTGTTCTTTCCTGACGAACCCCCAAAGCCCCTTCGGATTAAGTACAACGGTTTGCTATACGATGGAGGCAATTGGGATCAGTTCCCGACTCGCTGTGGCTGGAAATTAGGTGAAAGATTCCCTCCAGGCAGAGCCCCGCAGGGATTCCACTCTCAAATAGAATGCTGGCTCTACTTTGGCATGCTCCACTACGTGTTCGGGGACCAGCTGGACCAGTCCGACTTTCTCCTGCGTAGGGAAGAAGACCCTCAGCAGTACCTAACGACAAAGCATCTCGATAAATATGTCAGCAACGCCAAGGAATGGAAGAAAAGGAAACTTGGCGAGCGAGCCGTTGACATTGTCAAGAAAGTCTGCGAGCAACTTACCGAATACGGCCCTTTTTATGTGCGGGATGATATGGCATTGGCCATTCGGCTGGTTTGCTATGTTCTTTGGAATATTGCAGTCAAGCGAGACGGTCCTCAGACCCAGACCCCCCGTGTTCGGCTATGGATGTTCACCGGAGAATCTGACTGTAAGCGAATGGTCGCGGAGGGATGGTGCCCCTTGGAGGCAGAAAAATGTCGCGTCGCGGGTGGTGGAGTGGACACCCCGGCGTATCTGCTTCAGTTAATGCGTGTCAAGGCGGACTGGAATACAATAACGCATGAGCGCTGCAAGAAGACGGAATGTGTGGCGAACAATGTCGAGGAGAGCGACTATGTCACTCGACATGTACAAGAAGATTGCACTTGTTCGCACCTTCAGGCCAATGTCGAGCAGCTGCAAACAATTCTCCTAGATGGAGGGGTTCCCCTCTTGATGCTCACGCCTGGTGACGAGGACGAGCTCGGCAACCAGAATATCAAGGTTGAGATCGTGAGAAAGCGCGCTAATAAGCAATACTTGGCCATCTCGCATGTCTGGTCCGATGGCTTAGGCAACACAGAGGGTAACAGTCTACCGAACTGCCAATTAAAGCTCCTTTACGAGGAGGCAAGGCGTGTCCTCAATGGCAGTGAATATGTGCCTCGCTATGAGGGCGGCCCATTCGGACCATTACACACTGGCGCGGCTCGACTTGCCCATTTCGCTGGGAGCCAAGTTCTGCGCAAAGATGATTCAGTACTGTTGTGGGTTGATACCTTGTGCATACCACATCGGCCTGATGTTCGGAGCCTGGCGATTCAGCGCATTCGTGAAGTATACGTTGATGGTGAGTGCAAACTGTTAGAAAACTACTGGACCTTCTTGGGTGGCAGCCTAACTGATTACAGCTTACCGGACGATGATCCTTGATTCAGAAATGAGGCATGTGGACGCCAGCTCTAGGAGTCACCTAGAACTTCTCCTGAGGGTGCTGCACTGTTCGGGCTGGATGCGCCGGTTATGGACGCTTCAAGAAGGACTGGCCGCTAAGAGCCGGCTGTATGTGCTGTTCTCTGACAAGGCAGTCAACATTGCCACTATCGCCGACGAGCTCCTGACCAAGGTTGACCGAGGAAAAATGTCCATCATGCAGGAGAGGATTGCCACCTTTGCCATGGGTGTTTGGTTCGGCTTCTTTAAACATACCATTGACTTCACATCCAAATTCGAACGTTTCGTCAACTTGGTTGCTAGTCCTTTTGAGAAAAGTGAGATTACCAAAGATGACCTCATCATATGGAATTGGTTTAATGTAGCCACGCGAGCCACCAGCAAGGCACGCGATCGGCCAACCATTCTAGCGGGCATTCTCAATCTCGACTTGAAGGAAATTCTCGAGGTCAAGGGATCCGATGAACGGATGCGGAAGTTCTACAGCCTGATTGACGATTTCCCACAAGGCGTGCTGTTCCAGCCCGGGCCACGGTTTGAAGAATATGGAATGCGCTGGGCGATGAAGGTGTGTCAATATACCGAAGAGATCCGATACCTCTCGGGCGCACCCGGAAAGATTACACCTCGAGGACTTCAGATCACAATTTATCCGTCGTGGCTATTCCCATCCCGCCTAGTGTTCGACCTCAGCCTCTTTGACCTTGACCCTAGCCAAGGGCAACTGGCTTGGGAGCAGTGGATCAAAGAGCACAATCTTGAAGAAGCCAGCAACCTGTCCAATGTCTGTCTGCTCAAGACTAAAGACGCCGTCGTTTTCGAGCCAGATGGGACTTACGGAATTATTGTGTATGGGTCAGAAGGCTCTCGGCCTGGATCAAGAAGAACGTGTGCAGTGGTGTCACTGCGCACGACGGAGGATGCAGTCCATTATGGACAATATGATGGCCTGGGGACAATCGAGTCTATCGGCAGCTTTGCAGAATGGCCAGAGGGAGGGTATCTCGTGCCAGTCACCTGGGATGACCGGCAAGAACGTGAATGGATTGTTGGTTAACTGAATAGACTGTTGGGTGAGTGAATGGTTGGTTAGCCAAGGTCGCATCAAAACGGGATTGGGCCATGCGTACCAAGTTCCTCGAAGCGCCGACATGCTTGCCATAATCTTATGGCGGATTTGAATATACGAATCGAATAAATCCCACAACTCCAGCTACCCCTGTATGACTGAGTCCAAAATCTCTCAGTGTCTCGTGTAGTTCGAATCAAATGAGCAGTGGCGCTGTGTCAAGACATCACTTGTGCGACGATGGGCTGACGAGCTCTATAATGCACTTTAAACATATAGGCCAGTATCATGCTGACTTCCGAGAACCAAAGCATTTGAATGACCTTGCTAGATAAGATGTCTCCTCCGTAAAAGCAATTTGAATTGAAGCTTGAAAAGAATAGAGAGTAAGTTCACGACCTCGTGCTTGCACAAGTCAAGGTTATCAATGTGAGGCAGATAGGGCACTAGATAGGACAGCTCAATGGCCCCTAAAAAGAAAACCCGTGCATATAACTGACCTAGTTGCTTTCATCTTCGACCTCCACGTCATTTCCCTCGTCACCCTTTGCCCACAAGGAATCGGTAGGCTCCCCAGGCCACAAGGTGGCACAGAGGTTACGCGCATTGGCCCAGTCTTCATAGCCACCATCGGAGCTATATATCGTTAGAATGGATTCTGCGGGCGGATGTAACATGTAGTGTACCCAAGATCAAGGTTCTTCGGTGCCAGCATCCAAATCCTGAGAAGGATAGATGAAAGGACCACATCATACGGCTTTTGAGCAGTCTTGCAGAAAGTCCAATTGCCCGGCTTGCGCAGTATGAATGGTTCGTGGGCATGTCCTCTAATACCGTTCAGGTATATGCCTTTCTCGGAGTCTACAACCACCGGTGTGACCTTGTCCTCACCGTCGGTTGGGCCGCTGAGAAGAACCCGGGCTTCTTTGATGATGTTGGGGACATCTTGGATGAGCTGGGCCCAGGCCTTTTGCCATTCAGGTGTATCCCAGACAAGGATGGCATAGTAGTGCGTGTAACTGTGTCTTATTAGCAAGTTGCAGCTCTTTTCATATGATGATTAGTCTGACCCCATGGTTCAAGTAAAGAGTTCAAGTGAAGATGTGGGAGTGTTGTGAGAGGAAGGAAATTAAACTGTTGAAAGGTTGTAAGGTGAACTTAGGCAACCACAACCTTGACGCCTTAAGAAGTCACCTGCAGGGAAATCACATCGGCTCACAATCTTCCGGAAATTTCTCTCTACTTTCAAGACACGGGGGAAATGAAGAGAGGTGAGATTTAAGACAACGTCTTACATTTTAATGCAACTTCTGAGATGAATCAAATACAATCATTGGGGCCAAAAAGTTGTTTCAACGCCTCCATGTCTCTGAGCACTTCATCTTCATCTTTATTCCCTGTTTAACTCGAACTGTCTTTAAACCTTCCACAGAGATGGCTGAAGTGAGTACATTCACCTGGATAACCACCTAGGCAACCTGGAGACCAATTAAACTGACATCTCTTCTCTCCCATATAGCCAACAAGTAACAAGCAATGCTTGGATCCAGAGCTTCGCCAGGCTCTTGATGACTTGAAAACCGCTGTCCATTCGGCGAATTGCTGTCTAACCACTTCTCGCTTTCTGGAGTCGTTTCCAAACCTCAGTTCCCAACACCCGGAGATCCAGAGAGCCGTTGAAAAGGTGGCTCGATTTTCGCAGGATCAAGAAGACAACGCTACCCAGGCCGTAAAGAAAGCGCGAACGAAATTCGAAGCTCTGTCTCCTGAACACCAACACGGCTTGATGCAGTACTACGGGGAAGACCTCAATTTCTACCTCGAGATCGCCATTCCTCCGGACCTGTCGCATAGTCCTTCAGCTCCTTTAAAGGAATTTCAGGTTTTGTTGTTTGACATTGAAAATCTCCACCGTGCACTCGCCCGTGTACGTGGAATGGAAGCGAACATCACCAATGTCTTTTACAGGCTACCGTCCATCCAACGACTGCGGCGGGAAAATCGGGATGAGGAACTGCGGCTATTAGAATTACGCAGCTCTACTGAGATTCAACTGCGTAGGAAATTCTTTGCTTTGGATCGGCAGCAACAGGATATGCTCTGGTTATGGTACCAAGATTCTATGGGGATCAGTGGGATCCAGAGGGATGACAATGCGGAATACCCCTACTCGGCTGGGAGCTGAGATGGAGACAACGTTGAGGGTGAAAGGATTGTCAATTCAAACAGTACGCCAACGTGCGGACCTTTAGGCACGCAAAAGAAAGGGATGAGCAAATAGGGAGGGAAATATCAGATGCCTCAAGGCTGTGACTGTGTCCGATTGGTAATATCATTTGTAGAATCACCGACACTAGTTCGCCTATTAACCAGATACCTAGATACATATGGGTTGTGACTAAAAAGCCCCTTTGTAACATAATTTCCCTCTTTTATCTCGTATTCTTTTAGTCTCTCCACATGTTGGCAATGGTTGGAATACTTGATAGTGTGGGGTAGATAGATAACGAGGGTTCCCGGCCAGATTGCCGAGTTTCGGGAAATTGTCCTTTTCTTATCCTTGCAGGTCCACTGCTCTACGGCCCTTCGAATAGCCGTTGAAACTGATTGCAATGGATTTTGCCTCGAAGCGACGTCGAAGAAGGCGGGTTGCCGACGAGAATCGCAAAAGGGCACCCCGAGCGTATGCACGGTCGATCTGAGATGAGGTGTATCCACTAACTGGGCCCAGATGCGATCGTTGTAAGGCGAGGAAAAGCAAATGTGTGGAGGTGACCCCGGGAAGATGTCAACGCTGTTTTGCGGGAAACTTGGCCTGCAGGTTTGAAAGGTAGCGAGTCCATCGTATTCGAAAAAATAAACGTCTTTCTAACATGAGACAGGGCGAGATCGCCTTCTGTTCAAGATATCGCGTCTAGCGACCTCACTGAACCTGGTGTAGCCACTGTATCAAGCAACAGCCAAGCCCAGCTACTGCAAGATCCGCTTTCTCCGGCATCAGCTTTTTCCCAAAGGCTCGCCGAACATGTTGTTGCAGGTCAATCCAAAAGGACTCCGTGGCCGAACATCCTCTCACGCCTGAGGGATGCGTTTTCGCTAGATCCAGATACTGCTCCCGAAGGAAGGGACATGGTCGGCATGCAAGCAGTGAGTCGTATCGATATTTAGATTCTCGGCTCATGCAAGCTAACAAATTCAAGCATATGACGCGTCCAAAGGCACTTCATCCGTCTGAGGCGGCCCGTTTACATGCAGCAATTGACGCATTCCCCCCACGTCCTGTCGCCGAATTTTTGCTTTCGGTATTCATTAAACATGCAACAGATACATTCTTCTACTTTGACCAAGATCAAATAATGTCCGAGATTGATCAGTTTTACAACGACACCACCTCCCCGTTGAGATCTGACTTGAGCTTTGTCTGTCTTGTAATGGCAACATTCGCACTAGGTAGTCAATGGACGCCACTAGAAAGACCAGATGAATCTGCGGTCAGCTTGGATAATGATGATTTAGGCCAAGTATTCTACACTCATGCCAAAGCGCTTATCCCCGATCTGATTGACCGCCCCTGCCTTCGATCCATTCAAGCGCCTTTTTTGTTGGGTGTCTACCTAATGCCAGCAAGTGCCATTGGATCATCCTATGTCTATATGGGCTTGGCCTTACGCAAGGCACTGGCATTTGATCTCCATCTCAACCCAGAGGATCAAGCAGTTGACGACCGGGAGAGAGAGGTCCGGTGTCGGTTATGGTGGTCAATCTATTCACTCGAGAGGTAGGTGACAGGACCCTCGTCAAAGGCAACCTCATTAACCGCTCCAAGGTGTACTACTGTCAAACTAAGCAGGCCTCGCTCTATCAATGCCAATGTAGTCAAAGTGCCACATCCATCACCTCTCCCAACACTGGATCGCCTGCAAAGATACAACAATATTCAATTCCAGATGGCGTACACTCGTCTGATCAAGATTCTTGATCGAATTGCCGAGCCATGGCATGTTGCGTCTACCCCGACAGAACAATACGAACTAATATCTATTCAAGTAGCTCTGGCACCGAAGCAGAAGAGCAGTCGGAATCCGAAGCTCTGGCCTCTGATCTTCGACAGTGGAAGGAGTCCTTACCACCAGACTTCAAGCTTGACAACATGGACCCTAAAGACTCAAGGTACCGTACGATCTTCCATCTCTATTTGAATTATTACTATGCCTGGATAGCCATGGGCAAAGTCGCCCTTGTAACCGTTGCCCGAACGAGCCTTCGCCGTCATATATTTCCTGCATTGCGCCCTCCTGATCCAAACGAAGCTACTTTGAGGCAGTCTCGATATTGCGCAAAGGCAGGCAGAAAACTTCTCCTGCTCTTCGAGGATCTGACGCAAACCCGCAACATCACTCGCTTTTCCTTCACAGACTTCCAGGGATGCAGTATTGCGACTATCGTGACACTAGTGGCTGGGATCACGGAACGCGATTCAGGATACAGTTCTCGAGTGAAATTTGGTCTGGATTGCCTTCGGAAAATGGCAACTGGGAACATGACAGCCAAATTAGGGGTGGAATTTGTGGAGGCCGTGCAGTCTATAACAAACGAGGCCGCGGAGAAGCTCCGTCAAGCGTCCTCTGTGACCAACAAAACACAAGATGTGCAAGCTTCGGTTTCCGCATCTGATTACAACCAATGGGCCGAATGGCTTACCAGATTGGAACGCTCTCAGACACTGGAGCAAAGAGAAATCCATGAGGTAGAGCCTGGCGTGCTTTCACACACTGCACCACACCCACCACAGTCAAACGAGAATACGTCCGATTGGAGGACTGTTGGTGAACAGTATATCCCGGAAAGCTCGATCCCGCAGAACCTAGCACATGACTCTAGTATACTGCGGGAGTTCCAGTCTACAGAGTACGACCTTTTGTCAGGGCTCCAGAGTGATGATCCAACCTTTCTCATGGGCTTAACTGGGCTTGATGTTCTAGACTTCTCTGAGTTTACATAAAATATCAAGGACAGCAGAGAGGAACAAAACAACACAAACTTTGATATATTTATCTTTGTCGTAACACTCACAACACCAACCACCATGCACAATATAATCATTGTACTCTCACGGGAATCTGACCATCCTCTAGCAACGCCTCCCACCTACTTTTATAGACACGACCATCCTTCATCACACCAAGCACATGTGCATCAGGCTTATCAAAGATAGTCACATCCTCAAGCGGATTCTTATTGAGAATCACAACATCAGCATGGAAGCCCACTTTGATTTGACCCAACTCATCCGCGCATCCCATCATCTTCGCCGGATTAACCGTAGCACTACGCAAGATTTCAAGTGACGATAAGACCTGCGAGCGCAGTGCAAATTCATGGGTCTGCGCAGAGCCCAGCGGACCCAGCAAATCAGAGCCATAGCACATAGTTACGCCAGCCTCCGAGGCAACCTTCAAAGCCTCAAGACCAGACCTTAACACAACCGAATTTTTTGTTTGGGACTCAATAGGCAGGTAATTCTTCCACCGCTCGGAAGCCATCTGAGCATAGGCGATAAGTGTAGGCGTCAAGTACACCCCCTTCTCAGCCATCAGCTTGGCAGTGGGTTGATCCACGAAATTCCCATGCTCAATACCACGGACACCATTATCGATACAATGCCGGACGGCCTTGACGGTGTAGGCATGGGCCGTGACAAAAGTCCCGGCATTATCAGCACATTCCACGATAGCCTGAATCTCCGCCGCTGTAAACTGCAGATGCTCCAGCTTATCCGTTGGCGAAGCCACACCACCAGAACCCATGATCTTGATAAAGTCCGCTCCGCAGCGAATCTCCTCACGGACAGCAGCCATGCACTCAGGCACACCGTTGCACATACGGCCCAGGTGGTTATTGCTGTGGGTGCCGCCGCAGCATTCCGTAGCCTCATGCGGGCCGCGCAGATCACCATGTCCGCCGAATTGTGAGAGGGCATGGCCTGCGATAAAGACACGCGGGCCGGGAAAAACGCCGTCTTCAATTGCCTCTTTCAGAGCGAGCTGGGCACCGCCACAGTCGCGGATGCTGGTGAAGCCCCGATGCAGCATCTGCGAGGCTGTGTAGGGCTGCCGCAATAGGTGGACATCATTTGGGTTTCCGAAGGCTTTGGATAAGTCGCTGAAGCCTGGAACTGCACATAGATGTACGTGGGCATCGAACAGACCGGGGCAGAGGTATTTGCCTTGGCAGTCCACTGTTTCAAGGTTGGTTGGTGAGGCTGGGATGGATGATTCTGATCCGACGTAGGTAATTTTGCCCTCGGTAGCTATGAGGGTTGTGTTTTCTTTGATTGTGCCTGATTCCACATCAACGATGTTTGCGTTGGTGAACTTATATCCCTGCGGTCCGGGGCGGGTCCATGGCTTGATGTCCGAGCCAGGCAGGGTGGTTTGTGACATGGTGGGCGTGGGATGAAAAGATACTGGGTAAGCCAAGATATCGAGTCTAAATATTAAATCAGGAAGCTGAAAGAAGTCAAGTTGCGGGGAGTCTTTCACATTCGGCAAATTGGCTGCCAAATTCCCGATGGCATCGGACCGATGCCCCTTCTCCGCATATCAGTTCCCGGCAGTTGAAGATAAGCCTCCTTTTATAGCCGGGGAGAAGTCCGGGGCATGTCAGCTCTTTTCTTGAACATCCTCATCTTTGACTAATTTGTTGCGCAAGCCAAAATCTGAGCTTGCCCAGATTCAAAAAATATCAACGTTGGTATGTCAAGGGCGTCAATAGCACCTGCATTGATGGACAACTTGGAGAAGCATGCTGCAAGCACCGACAATTCCGATCAAACGAAAGGCGAAATGCTCGAGCTTCGTGGGAGCTACGCCGAGGAGGAAGAGAAAGCCGTCCTACGCAAAATTGACTTGGTCATTTTGCCCTTTGTAAGGGATTTATGCTGTCTCCCCGGTTCTTTCTCAAGCTAATGACGCATACTCCCAGATGTGCTTCGTCTTTTTCCTGCAGTACCTTGACAAGCAGAGTCTCAGCTATGCTGGTGTCTTCGGTCTAATTGAGGACCTTAACATGACAAGCTCGCAATATTCATGGTCGAGCTCAATCTTCTATGTTGGCCAACTGGTCGCCGAGTATCCCTTTATCTATCTCATGAGCCGGCTCCCATTGACCAAATTCGTCGGTACAACTGTGTACGTGAACTCTTGCGGTGTTACTATGTTTGTTCCCACCGTGTGCTAACCTCCGATTCAGAATTGTCTGGGGAATTATATGCATGTGCCTCGCAGCGCCGAACAATTTCGCCGGATTCGCCACTGTGCGCTTCCTTCTCGGCTTCAGTGAAGGCGCCGTTTCGCCTGCCTTCGTGACAATCACCAGTATCTGGTACCGAAAGAAAGAGCACAATGTCCGCACAGCACTATGGATCTCCATGAATGGTCTGGCACAGGTTCTAGGCTGCTTCTTAATGTATGGCATTGGCAAAAGTACCTCACTTCCAATCGCCCCCTGGCGCGTGTTATTTATTATCTGCGGTGCCATAACTTCTGTCGCAGGCGTGGCGTTCTTTTTCCTTATGCCAAACGGGCCTAAGGATGCATGGTTCTTGAATGCCCGTGGAAGGGAAGTGCTGTCGCTACGCATGGCACAGGACCTAGATGGTGGTGACAAGGCCACCTTTTCTGTTGCCCAGCTCAAAGAGACAATGCTGGACCCCAAGGCGTGGGTTGTCTTTTGGTTTGGTGTTTTGGTATGCATGCAGTCGCCGGTTTTGACTTTTGCATCTCTTGTGATCAAATCAATCGGTTATAATAACCTTGAGACCATGCTGTATACCGCTCCGTCGGGAGCTGTGCAAGTTGTTCTCCTTTGGATTGGTGCCGCTCTAGTGTTCATATTCCCCAACCAGCGAACGCTGGTTGTCCTTATTCTTATTGTCCCGCCTTTAATTGGGACTGTCTTCTTGTTGAAGTTGGACGTGACTTCTCAGTGGGGTCTTATTGTTGCTTCGTGGCTGGTATGTATTCTTATTGACCAGGCCATTTTTCTGTTGTTAACACAGTCTTTTGCAGTCTTCGTGCATTACCGCCCCCATGACACCACTTCTCTCACTTGCAGCATCGAATTTCAAGGGAAATACAAAGCGTGCTATGGTGAACGGCATGTTTTTCATCGGTTACTGTGCTGCCTGCATTGCCTCTCCTCAATTATGGACTCACAGCCCTCGTTACACGGAGGGTGTGATAACATCCATTGTGACGTGGTGTCTACTTTCCCTGGTAGTGATTTTATTCCGCTTCTTGTGTGTATGGGACAATAAGCAGCGTGATGAACAAGCTGCCAGTTGGGGTGTTAGTGTGGATCAAGAGGTCAAACTAGACGAAAATGGGTTGCCACAGACAGACCTCACGGATAAGCAAGACCGACGATTTCGATATGCGTGGTAACTGATTGATATTTGTTTTGGAATGTATTTTTGGTGGTTAATATAATGTTGAAAATCCCAGCTAATTCTCAACGTGACATTTCCAGGCTTCAACGCTAACCTAATCCGGGGTCCTTCGTACAGATCTCCAGTATGCAGAATCCGCACTTTCACTCCTGCCAAAGAAGACTAGCTCCTAGAAACTGGATACACATTTCCCTTCACCTTCGAGGTCCCAAGCTTCCTCTTAGTCCAGTTGAAACCCGTTCTCTGCTGGGAAAAGTGCCGGCGGCAGCAGATGTTTCGGGATCATCGCATATAGTTTCAGCTTGTCTGACCTCAGATGGGATTATGAAGCCTCCTTTTATTCTCGGTTTGCTGACATGTTCAGGGGGCGGGTCTCTGTGGTCTTCTCTTAGATAAGCTCGAGAGTAAAGAGGCATTTCGAAATTCTGAAAGCAAACAGCAACCAAGTTCGGTCAGAAATCTGCCCCAAACAGAGTGCAGAGCCCGAAATACCTGTAGGGCTTGGCAAATGGCCGGTTGGAAGCGGCCTTGGAGGCCATGTTCATCCCCGACACGAACAATTTCGGGATCTATTAGGTGCGGGCCGGGGCTATAAGGGGCCGTACTATAATGCCCGCCTCAACTTGGCTGTTGAAGTTAAGCCAGGGGCTTAGGGTGCTCTTTATCAGATTGCCTGTCAACACATTAACCCCGTGACAAATAGTGGGTGACCATCGAGGACGCAGTGATATTCACCTCAGCCAACCACACGCGGTGTCCCATCGGGGATGATAATCCACGGGAGGGTTTTGCCAGGAGCTTCTGTAGTGAATAGGGATAGGTCATGTAGGAAACAAGGTAACAGGTTCGACTGTATAGAGTTGTAGGTAGTCGTTATAACTCCGACCTATCGCGCGAACATATATAAAGTGAGTTATACTTATCATGCGGGGAACGACAACAGCAAAGGCTGCTTAACATACGTACCTTTGTAGAGTCCCCCGCTAGGAATACCATTTTGCCCAAGTGGGAATTACTCGCTGGTCCACGCCGCATTGTCCCGAGCCCTGAGTGGCCCTCGAGGTTAATAGGATATCTCTAATGTGACTTATATCGGGTCATTCCCTAATTTGAAGTCATCCACCCTTTCTAAAATTTCTGGCGTCAAAAGCCTAGAAAGTGAAGAAAAAGATATTTCAAAATACATCGAGTGTTCTTTAACATGATTTTGTGCCAGATATATCAGATTACTGAAGCCTTTCATCGTCAAAGGCAGAGGCTGCATAACCGGCCGATTATTCCTGTTCACAATAAGAATACCTGTATAACGTATGCATACAATATTTCCGGAGCACGATACCACTTTACAACCGCCCCTTGATGATATCGGCTGCACGCTCAGCAACCGCATACACAGTGCTCTGGAGATGACCGCAGACCTGGAAAGGCATGACGGAAGCATCCACAACACGAACGTTCGATGTCCCGTAAACCTTCAGCGATGTGTCGACAACACCACCAATCTCCTTGGGCAGCATGGCAGCTGTGGTAATCGGGTGGAAGTTTGATCGGTCTAGTAAAGTGAAATGTTAACAATGGAATTGCCTCCAAACATTATCTCTCAGCAAAGTGAAGGATACACTTACATTTACCCTTGATGAAGTCAGCCCAGTCCTCGTCATCGGCACCAGCAGGAACAGTAGAAAGACCGGGAACGATTTCAGCACCAGCCATATCACCAAGTGGCTCAGTGCTGAAGACTTTACGAATAAAGCGTGCCGCCTGCACCTGAGCCTCGAAATCGAAGTCTAGCATGAAGTACTTGGGGTCAATGATAGCCGCCGCCGTGGGGTCTGCAGAAGAGAGGTGAACACTGCCGCGAGAGAAAGGAACAGACCCCCAGTATTCGCTGCTGTATGTGTTTCCAGAGGGCGATAGTAAGATCTCGGCGACAGGAATACCATCCTTAAAGATCAGATCCCACTGGATCTTAAAGAAGCGGTAGATATCGCTGGCTTTGGTGATGTTGCCGTTGGCAGATGCAACCTGGGCTGCATAAGCGGGGAGCTTGCGGAGAAGATCGGCTCCGAGTGCTGTGGAGTTGGGGAAGAGCTGGGCCGCTGAGGGGTAGGAGACGTAGTCAGTGCTCTTGTTGTCGTCGTGGGATTTCTTTGACTCGAACTGGAGGCCGTTGTTCATTTGGTCCTGCAGGTTTTCGCCAACAGTTGGCAGGTTAATCTTAGTGGCGATTCCGTATTTGGAAAGAACGCTAGTGAGGGACTTTTGGTTAGCTTCGGTTAAACATCGAATGGGGGCGGTGTTATGCTTACTCTGGGTTTCCGATACCAGAAAGCTCCAGTAGGACGGGAGATTTCAATGCACCAGCAGCGAGAATTACTTCGCGGGCAGCCTTCACCACGGTGGTTTTGCCGTTGGAAAGAGTGACCTCGACACCATCTGCAGTGGCCTCGTGGCCATCCTTCCAGGTAATTTTATTGGCGTGTGTATTGAGCCAAACATGGAGGTTGGTTCTGTTCTGGTAAGGATAATAGTATGCACGAGCGGCATCCTCACGGATGTTGAGTTCATAATCAAGCGTCTTGGGATACAGACTATATCCGACCATATCTCCGCTATTGGGGTCATTGTTGAACTGAACAGGAACATCGAGGTTCTGGTAGGTAACGTTCAATTTCTGAGCAAGACCATCGTTCAACTGTGTCGAAGGCCATCCAACCTTCAGGGGCCCAGTAAAGCCGTGGTAAGCTGGATCAAAGGTAACACCCGATCCATCCAAGACTGGGTATTTTGTCGGATCTTGCAATTGCTCGCCCTTTTTGAAGTAGGGGAGCAGAGTCTTCCAGTTCCAGCCCTTATTGCCGACAGCCTCCCACGCGTCAATCTGGGCTGCCTGGGCACGGAGGTACACCAAGCCGTTGATGGTCGATGTTCCTCCGAGTGCCTTTCCAGCACGCACTATCTGTGGGGATCCACCAGCATATTCCTGGTCTGTCGTTTTGTAGGCCCAATCAATGTCTGTACCGAACGCTTTGCCGTATCCAAACGTGTCGGTCACATTTGGGTTGTTATATACGGAGCCACCGGCTTCGATCACGAGGACGGTGGTGTGCTTTTGCTCGGACAATCGGTTTGCGACAACGAGGCCACTGGTGCCACCCCCAACTACTATGTAGTCGTAAGTTGAGTCTGACTTGTGTGAAGCATGGGGAACTGCAACTGCTAGCGGAAGCAGTGCAAGGCTAATGAGGCTGCGCATGATTGATACAATATTGGCGCCGAGGGAGAGCGTCTAACGAAAGTAGCCCGGAGGATATAACAGAGCTTGATAATCTTCTTAATGCCTCGAGGCTACACAGATGATTTATACTTCGGGGTCACAACATGATTTGCAAGCATCGCGATCCACCTTGGATTCAGGGACATGGCGAAACCTTTGGTCAGACCAGAGTAATCTCAATATTCCCGGGCGATCTACGTGCCCATTACGGAATAGTAAGAGAAGAACCCACTGCCTACCACTAGATATCTCCTTCATCCCAGTCTAAGCCGCACGGGATGGGGCCGAAACGAGAAGTAGATCCTTCGAAGGTTGCAATTGTGGGCATAATGGACAATGTTGGCACCTGAAATCTCCGTCGTTTTTCCGTTAAAGCGCCGGTAAGCATGTTAAACTTCTTGCAGTTTCTCTACTCGTCCCTATCTGATGACAAAATGTTCTCTGCAGATCCACTTACTCTGCGGAAAATGGCCGCAGCAGCGTTGGAAATCTTACTCATCTTTAGTCAGGAACAAATATGACCCACTTTGGAAGAAGAATCGGGATTAATAGGCATGCCGAGTTTACTCGGTTTCGGAATGCGCCCGTCCCGAGTCGAAGTATATTTTACTTTTGCTGCCTGGAATATAAGACGTAGGGACAACCGATGGCTCCGTGTTTCACTCACTTCTATAGGCTGTTTTGGGTGAAACAGTTGAGGATACTATGCAGGCTATGCAGACCTAAAATCCTGTATAGGTGACCGTTCTAACCATACTCGGAGTATTGTCTTTTGGGTTTTTATTTTATTTTATTTTTCGAGTATATTAGGTACTGTAGTTGTACGCTTTTGATCTGATAAAAAAGATATGGCGAATTGAGTTATTCCAGGCCCATAAATATTAAACAAGTGCCCGAATGGCGTCATTTGTGGATACAACGTGAAGATTTAAGACCTTAATTATTCTGCCGATGCGTGCAGTATCGTACATGTAATTGGTGAATAGTCTTCATAGAGAAACGGCTTTTGTCAGAGAGATGGAGGGCACCCCCTTAGAATAAATTTGGCCCCAACAATACTACAGCCAAGATGCATCCAAATTGGCACGGAGGTTGCCTATATCCTAAAAAGGTTAATGCACTGCATATCTAATCCCTATGTTGGGAGAGATCTACAGAGACTTCAAGATGCTTGTAATGTGAGATGATTGAAGAGTTAAGGAGTAGAAAGAACTAAGTTCTAGACTATAGAATCTGACACTCTACTCAAGCCATCAACTACGGACTAATTTCGGATATTCCTCTCCTTTCACCCTCGATACAATTAGCCGTGGCGAATCAATCGTTCGGCCACCACGGGCTAGTATGAGAAACGTTTGGACTAGCACTGCCACCCCCGAATTAAGGATAGAAGCCGCACTTCCATTACTGCGTACAGGTCCTCCGACGGGCCTGGGAAGGATTTCTCGGTAAAGCCACGGAATATCGAACTGCTAGTATTCTACACGAAGAGAGCGGAAAGCCGTTTTTGGGATGGCACTGGCCAGTGCCTTCTGAATAACTTGCTCAAACCTCTGGTTGAAGAGCTAGGACGTGAGTATGAAGACCGGTTGAGGGTAGCTGCAGCAAGCTCTGGTGACTCTGTACTCCTGATTGATATAGCGTCCATGCAGGCGACTTGTCAACGGCGACCTCATTGGCAAAAGACATATTTGAAAGCCAGGAGGATGGCGAGTACGAGACTAAAGCCGATGATGATGACGATGATGATTATATGCGTTTGAGTAGTTGCCTGATCACCTTGGCCTAGCCAGTAATGTGCCATCTTTGACATCGTCGAGCAAAAGTTTTCTCCTCGGCTACATGACCCTCTTCTCGCCACTTAGCGTATTTCTCCAAGCTCAGCCTTCAGAACCTCAAGTGTTCTCGCAGTCAGGTCTCGCTGTGTCTTCAAGTTATTGAGGATTGTGGCGAGAGAGATGATATTGGCATTGTAACTGCTAATCTGAGTCCTAATGCGTGATCATGAGGATCCCAGCCCTTCTGGCAATGCTTGCGTAGTCTGGATAAGAGAGTTTGCTGTTGGCTGCAGGCGCTGTGTCTCCGGTACCTCCGTGTGCGTCTCGACGGTTTTAGAAAGATTCGGCTCATTGAGTGTGCTGGGCTTGCTGGGCTCTTCCTCATCCGTCTCAATCTGTTCCTTTTGCTGAAGCTTGTTCAAATCACAACCTTCTCCATTTCCTCCGAAGTGGCAATTCGCGCAATATTGTGGCTCGTCTGGAGCGTTAGGACCTTAACACAGGTCAAGAAGGGGCCGTGTCCTTGGCTGCAACTGCTGCAGCATGCTTCGTCGTCAAGCTCGGTGCCCACTGCCTGTGCATGAATTGCTTCAATGTTGGCTTTCTTGCTGCGGATCATGCGATCAAGCCGAGCGCCATTCCAAGTATTGGAAGTCGGAAGGACAGGCTCCCTGCGAAATTTCATCAGTGACTCATAACACGAACATTCACTAACATACAAGGGTACATTTGCATTTGCTAGGCTGACCGAGGCACCCCATAATCTTGTAAATAAAAAACTCTATATCTAATTTTATATAGTCAAAAGCGTAGGCAGAGACGTAGTCAAACATGTAGATGGCCCTTTGTGTGCTTTATATCCTTCTTAGTTGGAGACGATACACGGCTTGGTCAATCTCTTATCCGAACAACTATTCACACAGATAAACGCGAAGGGTCGGGTTATTAATTGAAGCCTCAACATAGACGGATCCGGAAAATATGAGGCCTCATTGCCGATATCGTGGAGTCCACTCACTCCATAGCTCAATGCCGCACATAAAATATTCTAGACCTTTTATGTACATCTCCAATCCATTTGTCAAGCTTTCCATGCTGTTATGTCGAATTTCATCGCTGGAGTGCTTGAGATCGAGCTCCAATTCCCGACAGTAACTATACATCAGTCGCTTGCAGGCTGTATATGGTAGCCCTGTCTCGTTGGCACAAATGTAAATGGCGGAGAATGGCTGGGCACCATCGGTTGGGTTCGCCTGGTATACTTTCCACTCCCGCTCCCAGCTATAGATATCATTCATAACACCGAAATGCCGAAACGCGATGCTTTCCAAAGGGGCGGTCTTTCTGCGTTCAGCAGTATTGAGATACAGCCTGGCACTGAATCTAATGAGAGCTGTGTAGAATCTAAAGGGCCGTCAGTATTCAATAATAATATCCGAAAATGAACAGCAACGGCAATACATACGGTCTACCCACATCTATCTCCCTAAATTTGAGGTATGATCCGAGGGTTGTTATTGTGGTCCTCTCCTGGGCTGTCTGGGCCTGCAGAAGTTGGCAAAATCCCTGGGCAACATCATTTGCCAGAATGTCGTCGATACTTCGCATGGCCATGATAGTATCGTGCAGCATCCACTCAAGACAGATACGTCTGTTGGGGCTCGCTTCTCCAAGGGCAACCTTCATGACCCGGTCCCGATGCAACAACATCTGTGTAAAACTCATTTTTTCAAGTTGATCTATCTCAAAGATCAATAAATGCCAAAATCAACTTCCGGCTGCGGGGACTCACCATCAATGAGTAACGACAAGTAAAGCATCTTGCATGTCGCATCGATCCGATCATCTAGCGTCAATGGGAAGAAGTGACTAAAGGCACGGGATAACCCAAGACCAAGGAACCCCTTTTTCTCCTTCTCACTGGTAAAATTCCAATTGTCGCCAAAATAAGGCTCAACCTGAGCTTGGATTCGTTCCCATCCTTGTGGGTGTGTTTTGGATTCTAGTTGGCGTGGTGCAAACTCACAAGGGACATTTTGTGCTGCTGAGTACTGCCTGACCGACTTGTTTATTGGGTAGATATGGGGTGAAAAGATGGGCCGATTGACAGCAAACGCCACGTCAAATAGGCGTTCATTTGCCAATTGCTTCCATATGCATGTCCTTTGAATTCGATGCATTGCAACTGCTGTCAATTGCATTCCATGTGCTTTGGCGTTTTGGTTGGCGGGTGCAAATCTCCACAACAAGGGGATGCACATAATTACGCACGGACCATTGAAACGTGATGTCACCGACGATCAACCGTGGTCCATGCCACTGTTCTTTTTACGCTTATCTCTAATTCTACGCCAAGTTTGCTTCGTACAACATACATGTATGTATACGAAATACCCAGTCGACACTTTTTACTTACTACTATCTCATCGTGCAGCTGAGTGCAGTATTAGCTACCCCCACCGATCTGATCGTTCGCATTTGCGAGAAAGAGGCTAAAACCTTTATACCATCATATGCTTCCCGCTTCCACTTCTGCCAGCCAGCAAGGCTCTCTGCGGTTGACCCTACGGCGCCTTGGTGCAATCAAAGTAGACAGTGAAAGTTCTCCCAGCGGTTCTTTGGGTCTCTCAACAAAGGCTGCCATAATGAGCACACCGTCAGAGAACCCACAGCGTGCCCCATGGCGCGATCTCCTTCATTCCCATCTCGAACAAACACCTGGATATGAATTCACAATTTCAACGATTGGCTACAATGCACAACAACGTCCTGTACCTCGCCTGCGGACTTGCGGCTGTCGTGGTTTCTTCCCAGAACTCGAGCTTCACCCTGATGGCCAGGAAGCTATGGACCAGCAGGTGGAAGGCGGTGGTAATCCGCCCGTATTCGAAAGTGACATGCTGTCATTTACTACCGATGCTCGAATGGACAAGCTTCCTCAACTGGAGGCCTCAGGTCATGCGATTGAGGCCGTGTTCTGGCTGAAAGATCTCATGGCTCAATGGCGCATCAAGGGAACGGCATATGCAATTGGCAACCCAAGTGGAAAAGATGCAGAGGAAGAGAATACATCCCGAACTGAGATAAGGAAAGCATTGAGGGTTAAGGGGGATAATAACAGTGACATTGCGAAGTGGACATGGGAAAAGGCTGTGACAAAGTACTTTGCAAACCACTCCCCTGTCGCAAGAGGTACGTTGTCTCCATCTCTGTTCTTAGGTGGAAGTGTTTTGTTCCTATATGGATCTTATTCCAATTGAATAGCGCTGTCTGCTTGCCATCGCCAGCTCATAGTGACAAGGAATCTAGGTTCATTCCGAAACCCTCCCCCTGGACAACCTAGATCCTCAGCTCCCAGCCAACCGGATCTCAAACTGGGTCAAAAGGTGTTGGACCTCCATGACCCTGTTGCACGGGAAAATTTCCGAGTCGTCATCATTCGGCCCGAGGAGGTTGAGCGTTTAGATCTTACTGATCAAGAGAACTGCAAAAGATGGAATTGGACATTGATTGATGGAAGCGATGGTTCTCGGTGGAACGAAATGGAGTTGTGGCCGTGATTCTACCAATACTGCAAAGACCTTTCTTTTGTACGTACGTATTTGAATAACTTTTATCCAAATAAGGTGAAACCGCTACCTTGTTTTGATATTTGCATGATATTAACTACCTACCTTGGATGGTTCCATCTTAAGTTATAAGGGACTATTTCTATAGGCTTGAATTGAATATTCAAAAGATCAAGCAAGATGTTGGTAGCCTCCATAGAATCTTTGTCTTAAGGTGTGTCGAGTGACAGAACCCGCTTGCTTTGACATTTTCGTTTTCTGATTTCTGCTTGTCGCCCGCCTAAAAAAGCTTCACTTTTGCACACCTGTCGCAACTCGGCCGCAGCGCTCAAACGCGCGTTACACGCACGACAAATACCTTTCCTTTCTGTTCTCACCCCATATCATTAGCAAGAGTACCTCCCCTCAAGACTGACCTGTCGACCCACCTTATCTCAACCTACTGCTGACCACAGACACGTTCAACAGTGTCTGACTCCGAGATGCCTAACGAGAACCCTGCCTGTGCTGACTGTAAGGCCAAGAAGAAGCGGTGCATTCACCGGAACCAACCTGTGAAGCTCGCCGAGGCTGAAGCCATCCCAGCCAGCATGTCTTCCCCATCCGCTCCGGCTCCTGCTGCGGTCCCCACCCCAGCTCCCACTCCCACCCCTGTTGACGCCCCCGGTGCTGCCACCAGAGGACGCCGCAAGGCCGCTGAGGCGAAGACGAAGGTATGTAACATAGACCTGCCTCTGACTGCTTAGTATCTTTGTCACAAAGCTAACAGATGGGATGTAGGAGATGAGTCCCGCTCCCGCCGACTCCAGCGACGATCTTTCTTCCGTGCCCTCTGAGGCCGAGCAGAAGCCGGTGGTCAAGAAACCCACCAAGCGTACTCGCCGTGCCAAGCCCACCGCCGCCGCCGAGTCCCAGAATGGGGCCCCTAACTTGCCCGCCGATAACATTAAGGCCGCTTCTACCATGTCCGTCCACCAAGTCTTCGCCCGCAAGCTTCACCGCAACCTCCAGGAACTCCAGGAGCTCATGCGGACTTTCGATGAAGCTGGCCGCGATGTCATTCACGGCAACCTCCAAGAACTCAAGGGGCGCATGCAGACCTTCGATGAAGCTGGCCGCGATGTCATGGCCTCTGGCCAGACTATCCAGAACACTGTTGAGGGCTGGATCCAGACCTGGGCCATCTCTGGTCGTTAAGCATTCTCAACGTCTATCATCGCAACTTCCCACGCCTCGGTCCTGACTTCTTTGGCGTTCATGCGTTTGGGATGGATATGTGCGGTGGGTGGAGATGTCATTTGGGTGGATTCTACTCTGGCTTTTTCATCTGAGAGAAGGAAATGTTTCGGTCCCTGATATGGGACGTGCTCGACCAGGTTTGGATTTTCACGTGGCTTCAAGCCGCGTGAGCCTGGTCCGCACCCATGGATTGGTTTGTTTTGTTTTCGAGCAACCGTGTTCCTGGCGTTCCTGGACACATACTTAATCCATGGATTTTCAAAGTCGCAATCGTCCCCTGTAAGCGTCAAGCCCTCTAAATTCGACGTATACTCCGTATTTGTAGGCTGTAATGAGTTTAGCCCAATGCTGGACACTAGAATTCCCATCGAGGTTTGTGTTGGTATATCACGTGTGAAGCCTAGACCTAGGAACTTCAATTTAGTAGCAGTCTTTAGAATGTTATTTGAGAACGAGTCTCGGAACCTAATTGAGAACAGGGAAGTAGCCAGTACTATACATTTAGCGAACGTGCAGAAGTTTACGATACCGCCCCTCTGGATTTACACCGATCAGCCAACCACTATCAGTGCGGTGGGACCCCCCAGCCTCCAACCACGGACTCTCCCGGGTCTTCCGCGGGAGGGATCGCCCGGTTCCCAATAGTCCCAGCTCAAATTTTTGGTATTTGCTTTTCACAATACACGTATCCCCGTATTCCCCGTGAACCCCGAGTCCCCGGTGTTTGGTCCCCGAAAGGAACAAGCGACCGTTACGTGTCAAACCTCTTCTTTAGGAAAGGTACCCGTATGTTGATGTCTTTACAGGGGCCTTGTCAAATCACTCCGTAGACCCATCTTTTCTATTCGGTCTAGTCTAATTCAACAATCTCCAGGAATCGACTGTCTTTCGTCTCCTGTCTTTTGGTTGCCGGGAGACTCGACTTTTCGAGGAATGGGTGGTTAGATGCAGCGTTTGTCTGGATGATCAGGATCTTCTGTCACACTGATCATCATAAAAGCTTCTGACCCTATGCAAGACTTGTTACGTCCAATAGTCAACTACATAGAGCAAGCTAAAGTAGTAGTGTTGTACGGAGGACTCCGTACACTCAGTCCAGGGCAACACTATCTAGTTAGTCTGCATAAACTGCCACTGACACATGCAGCAAATCCTACCTCACCGCTCCTCCAGTGATTGCTGATACAAGCGATCCAATCACCTACAGTTCTGTAAGAACAAAAGTTGCTGCAGTTGGCCCTAGGATGTGCAGGATTCCGGCTATCAAATACGGAGTACATCAGACAGGGGGTGGCTTTTCCGTACCGAAACCGCCTAGCCCCATATAAATTTTCGTACGAATTGGTACGGCCCACTAAGCAAAGTATTTACCATACTGGTACCATACCAGTCCTATTCCTCGATCTCTCGATTTCTTTTCTTTCCCTTGAGCCTGTTCACTTCCCCTCTCCAGACTCTCTGCTTCACCGTTACTTGCATTTTTAACTGCAGATCATATCTAACGCACAAGTCATCATTGAGGGGTTAATAAAGAAACCCGCCTTCTCTTCCACACCAGCCCGCACTCACACCGCGATCTACCTTCTCCGTGGCACAACTTTGTCTCTTCGCAAACACTCACGATTCTGGTGGAACTCACGATTTACGACGGAACGAACACCAGAAACACTTACTCGAATATAATACTTTGACCGTTGATTTCTTTTATTTCGACCTGCGAAAGCGAGCCGAGCCCAGGGGATTCAATAATCGAATATTTGTTATGGCCATGGCATCAATGGATGCTCTAGGGGCCTTCACCCACATGAAAGACAATCTCCCTGCATGGATCAATCGCGTTTCAGAGCTTGCTACACACACCCACAAGAAACACAATGAATACTCTGAAGCTTACAGACGTCACGCAAACTTCAAGCCCCGCCGACGGAAAAACAGCTCTGTTTGCTCCATTCATACGGATGACCTCGTTCCAATCGCACAAAGAAAGGGTCCCAGCCCAGAACCTGCGGCGGTTGAGACACCACAGGATGCGCCCGAGCAAGGGCAACGTTCAGGTCGCAAGCGCACTACAGATGAGGCCCCGTCAGTCGAGTCCGATGAAGAATACAACACGTTGGTAAGCACACGGCACAATGTCATTATTGAGTATGATGGCCATACCCAGCAGACGCTTGAGACAATTGTACGTGATATCGGGGTGGCCAGGAACAACATCAGACGAGGGCAGATGGCATTGATGCCGCGTACAGGACTACGCGCGGGCTTGTTGAGCAAAGGCATGAATATGCCAAGTGGACTGGGGCAGACAGGGCCACTCCCACTCTCTTGTGTTCGCAGCACTCGGACCACAGCTGGACTTGTCGGTGTCTCTGGGACCAGCGCACTTCGGAAAGACTCCCCTTTTGACTTCGCAGACAAGCAACTGGAACTTGCCCATTCGCTCTGCGAGACGGCAGCTTATCAAGTCCTTCGATCTGGCGACTGTGGAACGGAACTGGACGGCGTGGAGGAGAAGTTCAAGATGCTACTCGAGGCGGCGATCAACGAGGTCGACCGTATCATGGCCGAAAAGAAGCAGCAAGAAGAGCACGAGCAAAAGCAGCAAGAAGGTTCTGCGGAAGAAGGACCTCCCAAACCGCCCCCCACCCCTTCCGCGGCGCGACTCGCAAGGGTTGCTGCCATTGCTGCGAACAAGCCCTCCATGGCCACGGCAGGCACGATTGAAGTCGATGATGACTCGTCTATCTCGGCTGAATCGATTGACCTGTCTGCATTCCGATCCTCCCGGATGCGAGTGTAGACACTGGCGCAGCCAACACTTGACCCTCCTATTAGCGATTTAGCTTGTGTTGAAACCCTTCCAGCAAAATCATTACAGCCAGTTGATACCTTTGATCACTTGAGACCATTTCTTTCTCTTTGATTGGCCTTCTTTTTTTTGCCTTACTGCATCTTTGATTGCGATCTGATTTACAGTTACAGGGGCCCGCATACCAATTACACCATTCATTCCCTTGTTTGCGATCGATATTTTACTCCTTCTTACTGTCTCTGATCACATTTTTCAATATTCCCGTTCTTGTTTGGGGTACATATCTCCTGCCTCTCTCTTGCATCAGCTCATGACTCATTCCCAAGGGAGCACGGCGTTGGAATCGGCGTTTTTATTATTATTTTTATGTTTCTGCTTCTGTCCCTGGCCCATTGGGTTTTGTGGCCCTCTGCGTTCATTACATCGACCCATTCTCAGATGGGCAGGAATTTGACCTTTTTTTTTTGTGGATTTTTCAGCTCCATTGTCAGGCTTGAATGCATATACGATCCTCTACAACATACAATCAAATAACTGTACAGAGTACTATGTACAATGTACATTGAAGGCGCAACAGCCCCAACATTCTATGACCCATTGAGTCAAGTTCGGCCAATAATGTGAATCGTACAAATGAATTTAAATTGTGGCCTTGACTTCCCTGTAATAATCCTTGACTTACGGAGTACTCCGAACGCAGCTTGGCTATGTCGCAATGCATGACCGTTGCTATCCCCTGTCTCGGTACGGGAAGACAACGGCGGGCATGTCTTTGTCTTCAAATTATTCGCCAAGCAAAGTCGCCACAAGGACGGGCTCCGTTGTGGGTCCGGGAGCCATTGGGTGATTGATACCCAACTGTCCCAATTAAGTAAACAGTCTGGTAATAGAGTCTTACCTAGAGACAATGATTACAAGTGGACCTTGGAAAACTTCAACTCTTTGTCCAATATTATGCTATAACAGATGGAGTATCACCTGCGTGAGTGCATTGCCGCTCAGATCATCATTGTTTCCCACGTTCGGTCTCCACGAGCGCTGTCCGGGGCAACTTCCTTACTATGTTTCACATTCAAATGCATGGCACATGCTACTGCGGAGCATGAAATACAAAGTACATCATGCTACATATTAAAGGTGCGTACTTCATGCTTAGTTCGGTAAAGCCTGTTTTAGCTCTAAAGTGCGAATAACAATGTACGAATCTTGTTATCTGCATTTTTAGAGGCAGTTCAATGAAGACAAACTCTACATGCTCTATATTATGCTACAAAGGAAAGGCTTTAATCTATATTGTACGGAGCAGTTTTCGATGTGTGCGTGGACATGATATTACCATGCATGTTCTAGACACATATTCTTTCGGTCGATCATGGATGTGGCAGCTGAAATAATAATAATATACGAAGCACAGTGTTTGTGGCTTCCACCTGCCAGCATGCAGGTGCAGGGATCTTGCTTCTTGAATATACGAAAAGTACATACAGACTCAATCATATCTTTGAATACAGTCTATCTGTATTATATTCTTTCCTCCTCATTTTATGGTCCTCGGGAGCCTCCATCATTAAACCCAGACAGTGTCTCACTTTGAACATAACCTCTAAAGATGTTGGTCTCAATTCAACTAATCTAATAGAAATATAAAATATATTTAAGACGTTTAACATCAAAGCGGACCCTCTTAATCCCTATGATATCAATACATACAGTACACTCCGTACCAAACCCCCGCCCGTCTCCGTGCCGAGCAATTCGCTATCAACTTTACCTTCCGCTTTTGGGCGCGGATAATTATTCCAGTTACTTTTTTCTCACAGGACAGAAGTACAATACAGGAGGTGGTTAAAGGAGAATGACACCACAGAGTTGATTTTGGAGGAGATTCTACTCTGCGAAAAACAACATACTATATCGCCGTACATTCAGAAATGTGCACTACCACTTAAATGAAGATGCCATAATACATTTTCAGTCCTAAATATCAAAAGCAAGTAAAACAAGCGCAATTACAAGCCAGAATCTGTATTTGAAATTTATATTATCCACCCCACCCCACTAGCCAGAATTGACAGGTGTCAAAGGACATATTAAGCCAAGCAAGCCACCGCGGTTTCTTACCGGAGGGCACCAATTAGTCCCGGAAAACAAGGATGTCTTTTATGATTGACGGCAGTGGCCCGTCCTTTATTACTTAGTGTTAAGTTCCTAACAAGGATGTGAAAAATGGTACATACACTATAGTAGACTCCTGCCCTCCTTGGTAAGAGGGTCACAGGATTCTCCTAGCTTGCTAGTAGGGAAGATTCTTCTCATTTCCATAATTATAATTGTTTTAGGGATATTGGTACTTCTGGATGTGATATCTAAATTGTGGCGTAATAAAATCTTGCTTGTTAGTATCTCCGTACGCGTTGTCATCATGGCACGGAGTACACAGCATAACCTTTCGTGAGGGTATTTGATTGTTAAAAGGTAAAAACCGCTCCAAAGAAGCTTACTTCGAGCGGAAGAGTGTTTTGAGTCTTTCGATTAAATACGAGTGACAGAATAGAACAAGCTGTATCAATAACCTCGGTTGACAAAAGTACCTACATATCACATGCGCAGGCAGTACTCCGTACTATTGTAAAGTACGAAAGAACATTGACCGTATCTATAATTGGGGTGTCCACGATGTACGATATAGCACAATAAACTCTCACTAATAGTGAACCGGATAATTGATTGAGCGATACTTCTCAATCCGACGACTGTATCTCCCATTCAGTGAATTGTAATAGACCCGAGAAGTCATCGACGATGTACAGAGTAAAATATAGGAGAATATACCTTATGTAGCCAAAAGGCAAGCAACCTCACTCACCTAATTAAATATGTAGGCTTTCCTATAAAGCTAGGAGGTTGAAGCTCTATAGTCAAGTTCTGTAGCCTCCTAGCATTGGCTAACGTATTT